ATTACTGCGTTTTGTTATTCTTAGTATTGTTTCCATTATTGCTGATGACGAAAGTGTTCTTTCTGTCATCACTAGAACTTGCTGCTGTTTTTTTGGATATTTTGTATGCCTGCTCAGAATTAGTTCTTCGTTTGCTATAAATTTTATCTGTAAGGGTTTTTAAGCTTACTTAAAGTTTGGAAGGAGAGTGGTGAGGGGAGGGGATAGGGAGGGGACGGGCAAGTGAAGGAGAGGGGTAGGTTGAAACCTTCCAAGGAATTCAGCAGTCTGAAACTATGACAGAACTCTTTTTTACAGTTCTCTAGACAGCTTCTATTTTATCGTTACGTTTCCTCTCGTCACCAGTGCAGATCAGGGCATTCCCGTCCTAAATAGCTCTCAATTAGTGGCATTAGCGTAATTTACTGTATACATTAAAATGGGCCCTTTCATCTCAGCGATATTTTCCCTTGCATTCGATTAGCATTGCATGGCAAAGTGCTTGAAAAGGTAAAAAACAGAAAGTAAAAAAAAACGCGGAAATGGGAGGATTGGGGAGAAAATCGTTTGACTGTGTTTGGGGATTGATGAGTAGTATTTGCAGCGCAAGGCAATTTCTACGAGATGTGCTCGTTCAGTGAGACAAAGTATGAGAAGCTGAAAGAACGGGGCCTGATCCAGTTCAATGCCAGGCAATTGTCACGCGTCTATCCGCAAGGTTCGCGTGTCACATCGGCAAATTATGATCCTGTACCGATGTGGAATGCTGCATGCCATATGGTTGCACTCAATTATCAGACTGGTGACAAGGTGACAAGGCTTCTTTAATTCATCCTTCAACACTTATTGCTCGATTGGAAGTTAAATGCGGCCATCAGCTTTAGATCTGTCGCGTATCGCCAGATTTTATCTATTAATTTGTGTATAATACATTACAGTTCCCCAGGTGATATACGTCGAAGTACATGCATGTGGGATTCCTGAGATACACAGGAAAGCTGACAATTCAGGACATGTTCTTTTTCCATGCAGCTGACAACTGTTCTAGTCATTTCGATGAGCCAGTGATAGATTGACCACCAGTGCTACATTGCCTGGGGATTAATCCACCAGCGACCCTGGTCTTTGTTCCGCCTCCTAAAGGAATTGCCAGCTATGTAGTTCTCCCGCAAAAGCGCTTGACAAAGGTTCTGCCGCTTTCAGATACCTTTACTAGAGCCTGCTTTGGGATGTTGCGGCTTCTAAATCGTAACGACTTGCCTTATTAGCTAAAGGACCCGCTGAGATAATTTCGTATGAATTCGAAATTTTTTTGCTTGAAAACGAGCAGCGATATTTCCTCAGTGTTTTTTTTTTTTTTTTTTCATGGAATAACTATTATTTTATGGCTATAGCGTGAAAAAGTAATTGTTTAAAGGCCGCTCGTGGATTTCTAGTCGTTTGGAGAGCTTTAACAAAGTGAGAGAGTTAAAACACAAAAGCTGAGCATTGCATCATTTGTGGAGGATTTTTCCCTGAACCACTTGTCTTTTTATTGCCCATTTCTGTGTTCACTGAGTTCTTATATTTTTTTTTCAGTGCAAAATTTGGTAAATTTTGCAGGCGATGCAATTGAATCAGGGGAAATTTATGGCAAATGGCCAGTGTGGATATGTGCTGAAACCATCATATATGATCGATGAGATGTTCTCTCCGGATGCTGCTGAAGTTGTTTCTACCTCCTGTCCAATTGTACTTACACTCAACGTAAGGATAAGTCAAGCTTACTGCTTACTAGTTCAGAGAAATTAGGCTGAAAAATTCTGAGCTGTTTATGAAGTAATTAAAGACACTGATAACAAAAATCTAATCTATAATTAACCAACTGTT